ATAAAATCTGACTCATGCTGAATGAATTTACACGTACATAATCGTGACCACGCACCATACAAAACTCCTGGGTACACATAGTAAGGCTGATGTGGTTAGGAAATTCCAGCTGTGGTCTGCAGCCACGTATGATGTGAACAGAATTTGTGGAAGAAGAGAATGAACAGACAATCACTCATCAGACTTATCATCCTGGTGGGTCAAATCCAGGCAATAAAATAAATTATTTGTTACTTCTGACTGAAATATTTATGATGCAGTTTGGAAGGCTATATTTTAAAAAAGATTATGAATTTGAGCACACACATCCATTGCCTCTTTTTCTGGAAAAAAGAAGTTTCAACTGGCTTATAGTGGCTCATGCCTGTAATCCTGACAACTCAGCCCAGGCAGGGAAGTCTATGAGACTCTTAGCTCCAATTTACCACCAAAAAAGCAGGAAGTAGAGCTATGGCATAAGGTGTAGACTGCTGGACTTGAATAAAAAAGCTAAAGGACAGCACCCAGGCCTTGAGTTCAAGCCACAGGACTGACATATAAACAACAGTAACACAGAAACAAGTCTCTCCTAAATCTGTGCAGAATCCTCCACAGGTGTTTGCTTCTCTTCATATTAGCTATTGCCAATGAGGAGGTGAAAAAAAAGACATAAATTCACAAATTCTTAAACAAATTCAGTGACATTAAGATTCACAAAAATAATATTTTAGCACTTAGAAATGAACACTGGGAATGACATTTTTCATGCATAATCTCACCAGTGACTTCTCCCCACACTTCTACAAACCCACTTTCTTTGAGCATCAGTCCCTTTCCTTTGAATACTGGGACAAATGGCACAAAAACGCAGTGGTGTAGTCTGCTCTAAATCCTTTCATTTCACTAGGATCAAATCTGATTTGCTGACTGCCATCTCTCTGGTGTTATAGCACTGCCTGGCCCGTAACAGGTGCTCACACATGCACAATGTGTGTTGGAGGAAGAGGAAGATGCCATCTGCGGTTCCTGTCTGGGTCCCTCTTGGCTGCAGAGTATGCACAAGCAGTAAGATAGGTGGCTAGTGCTGATAATGACTCAGAGTGACATTCCTGCATGGTTGTCCCTCAGGATCCTTGGGAGATTGGTTCAGGGTTTCTGTGGATACCCAAATTCATGGATACTCAAGTTTCTTATGTAAAATAGTGTGATAACCCTTTGTAATGAATTCACATCTTTCTGTCTACTTTACTGGGGTGCATGTCTATAGTCCTACTTACTCCAGAGTTAGATATCAAGAGGATCACAAATCTGAGACCAGTCAGGGGGTAGGAGGTAGGAGAGAACTTTATGAGATTCCCATCTCAGCCAAGAAGAAGCTGGGTATGACAGTATGTACCCCAAATTTGTGGAAAGTATAAATAGGAAGATCACAGTCTAAGCTGGCTTGGAGTAAAAAACAAGGCCCCATTAGAAAAATAATATAAGCAAAAAAGGGCATGGCTCAAGTAGTAGAGTGCTTTTTTGGCAATACAAGGGCCTAAGTTCAAACCTCATTAAATACCAAAAAAATGTGACATATCTCTAATATCATGTAAATGTTGTGTTTATGCTTTATTGCTTAGGGAATGAAAAGAAAAATGTCTGTACATGTTTAGACACATCCATTGCCTCACTACTAAGTACTAGATCCACAGTTGGCTGATTCCATGTACAAGGTATACCCAGACATGGAGGCACCAATTTCAACACAGTAATTATGATATTAAGAATGCTATCATAGAATAATCATATAAACATTTAACATACAACCATTAAGTCTATTTTAAAAAGTAGCACCCAGAGAACACAGCAGAATTTTGTCACACCAGGTAACGTTTTGGGTACATACAATTGCCATAAACACATGATATATAAATGCTTGCTACAAAGGGAACTAATTTTATGGATGTAACAAATTACTGAAACTATTCTCCTATTCTTGATTGTCATAGGCTTGGGAAGACAGAACCTTGTTTTCATAGAAAGGGTTATTTTTGTTCCTTTCTTCCTCACAGTTGCACACTTCTTTTTCTTTCTTTTTTTTATTGCATTGTTTAGAACTTCCAAACAAAGTTAAATAAAAACAGCTCAATGGAAGTGGTGCTGTGGCTCAAGCGGTAGAGCGTTCGCCTTGAGCTGAAGAGAGGGGGACAGTGTCCAGACCCAGAGTTCAAGACCCACAACTGACAAAAAAAAAACAACCCAAAAACCCAGCAACAAAACAGCTCGAATGTCCCATTTGCGATCTCAGTAAACATCAGCTCAGTTTTCCTTACCATCATTAAAAAAAGGGTTAATTTAAACACTTACCAAAATGTTCTATACACAGAATATATATGCAGAATAAAGTTGTTGGGTATAGTAAATCAATATCATTCATAAATTTCCATTCCTTTCTGATAAAGCATACTGTCTTACAAGCAAATGTTAAAGGTCAATTTCATTGACAATAAAAGCTAGCAAGCCTAGAAAGTAAGACAAATTCTCCACATTTACTTGTAGCTAACAACACAAAGTAGCTCAAAGTAGGGAAATGATGCCCCAAGAAGAGGAAAGAGAAACTGCACCAGAGGATTACTGCAGCCCTTCCAGCCTGGGCCCTGCTGTTAAGTGTCCCCTGGTGGCAGAAAGGCTCACTGTGTCTGGATGTGGAGTTTGTTCTGAGACAAGACTCGGATAACTAGAAGTCCTGGCCATCTCCACAAACAACATTCTTTAACCACAGACATTCTCCAGCTTCAAGAAAAAAGCAAAGTAGAGAAAATTCCTGAGATAAGCCCCACTTTTGCCCTCTCTACAAAGCAAGAATGAGTACTTATTCAAATACACGATTTTTTATTTTATTTTATTTTTTGGTAAAGGCAGAAATAAATGGATTGTGAAGGCAGAAGGTTTGGATAGTAAGAAAAGGATCAAAATAAAACTGAGAAAGAGTTGGCGCTGGTGGCTCATGCCTGTAATCTTTAGCTATTCAGGAGGCTGAGATCTAAGGCTTATGGTTTGAAGTCAGCCTGGGTAGGAAAGTCCATGAGATTCTTATCTCCAGTTAAGCACCAAAAAAGTTGGAAGTAGATCTGTGGCTGAAGTGGTAGAGTGCTAGCCTTGAGCACAAAAGCTCAGCCAGAGCATGAAGACTCTGAGTTCAAGCCCCAGGATCAGTACACACCAAAAAAGAAAAAAACACAATTTGCTATCAAATTCTGTCAGTATCTGTGGGGATTCATTACAGGAAATCCCATCCCTACCCCACAATGCTGAAATGAACACATGGCTTAAGTCCTTAAATCATAAGGCTCAGTAGCTGTTCAGTATCTGTGCACATCTTCCTGATTACCTTAGATCATCTCTAGATCTCTCAGGGTACAAATAAGATGTGTATGCTCTGTAAATCCTTGTTCTCATCAGTAGTATTTAAATTGTTACGTGATATAGTGTTTCCCAGTTCTTGATTTTGTGAAAATCTGCCTTCCAAAAAGTAAATGATGTCCAAAAGACAGGTTAACATGCTTGATTGAATTGATAAAGTGAAAACTTTAGAACTGCTGAAAGGCAGCACGTCTTCAGTAGAATTTGGGTGGTGTTACCCGCCGAGAATGATTTAAGCACCCACCGTACAGAACTGATCTCTACGCACAGTGAGCATGTGCAGGTTATCTTCAATGGCTACCTCCTTAGAACCATATTAGCCTGGTATCAAGGGTTTACTATATTTAAAAAGTATCTTCTGTTAGATGCTGGTTGAATCCTCCTATGTGGGACTCAGAGGTATAGAGGGAGAAACTACCTAAGAGGAAACAAAACAAAACCCTTCCCCAAACCCAATTTGCAGAGCCAAGTCCCACACCTCCTGGGTACCTATGGTACAATTTCTTCATTCCTGCATAAGGTTTTCTGATAATAGGTTAAAGAAGAGATGGTGAAGGAGAAGGTTGGGAGTATGTATGGAGAGAGAGAAAAAAAAAGAACCCCAACTTCTGCATTATAATGGCAGATTGTGGCATTTGTGGCCCATTCTATTTTGAATTCCATTTTTCTTCTGGGTACTGAAGTTTGAACTCTGATCCTCAGGCTTGCTAGATAGGCACTCTTAACCACTGAGCCATGCCTCCAGCCCATAAATTTCATTTTCAACATACATGAGATATAGGGAAATACTGTACGACTTATATGTACCTAAAATACTTCAATTTGTATTGCCAAAGGCATTCTCATGAAGACCCTTTGAAAATAAAAAGGGATATGGATTAGACTTATTGCCCTTTTCACAACCACCTAGAGAGACACACCTGCAGTGTACTGGAAATAGCAGGTACTGGCCTGGTGCTTTAGACTGGAGATCTGCAGTTAACTGGTAATGTGTAGGGGTAAGCTGGTCACCCCGCTCTGAGTCTTAGGATAAAGACACTGCTCTAATGCTAATGACCTGACAAGGTCACTAAGAACAGATGAGTCCAATGAAGTTCACAATAGTAAGTACAACTGTCCCATGGTATCTATGGAGATTGGTTCCAAATACCACCCCCGCCCCCCCCAACACACACAGATGAACAGATGATAGAATCTGAGAACATTCACACCTTCCTTCCTTCCTTTCTTTCTTTCATTTTTGTGTTTGTTGGTCCTGGGGCTTGGACTCAGGGCCTGGGCGCTGCCTCTGAGCTTTCATGCTCAAGATTAGCACTCTATCACTTGAGCCACAGCTCCACTTCCAGCTTTTTCATGGTTAATTGGAGATAAGAGTCTTATAGACTCTCCTGCCCAGGCTGGCTTTGAACTGCGATCCCCAGATCTTAGGCCACCTGCCCTCAGGATTCCTTGAACTTCCTTCCACCCTGGAAGGAAGTCTTCATCATGATTCAGAATGAGAAGGAAATCTCTACCCTCACGTGCCATGCAAGTGTAATGTTTTCATTAAAATGTTACTTTTGAAACAGGAGATGACATGTGCCCGGCTGACAGTGGACAACAATAAAGTCACTTACAATAACTTCCCGGAAGGACGCCTGGTCATTGATGGTCTTGTCTTCTGTACATCCAGATTGATTCAAGTAATGGTAGTTTTCTGGCACAGATAAATAAAATTCTTCTACAGAAAGACAAAAGCGTTAAGATCAACACTCAGCGGGTGAGGTGAAATTCAAGAGTTCACCCAGTGATGTGTGACTGACAGACTAAGTGAGTGATAGGGGTTGTTATACGTTATGGTGTTAAAAGCCAAATTGTACATATAATCTTATGCCCATGATGACCCCCTATTAAAATAATAAAATTCCCTTGCAATCATCATCAAAGGAAAATAGGAACTATTCAATTAAACTAAATGGGACTCTACAAAATACTACTGAAAACAGAATTGACGAGGATACTTTTTTGATTGCCCCTTTTGTGCTGGTCCTGGGCCTTGAACTCAGAGATTGGGCACTGTCCCTGAGATTTGTGCTCAAGACCAGTGCTCTACCATTTTGAGCCACAGCACTATTTCTGGCTTTTTTTTTTTTTCTGGTAGTTACCTGGAGATAAGAGTCTCATTGGGCTGGGAAGGTAGCTCAGTGGTAGAGTGCTTGCCTTGCATGCATGAGGACCTGGGTTTGATTCCTCAGAACCACATAAGCAGAAAAAGCCAGAAGTGGCACTATGGCTCGAGTGGTAGAGCCCTAGCCTTGAGCTGAAGAGGTAAGGGACAGTGCCCAGGCCCAGACTGGCCAAAAAAAAAAAAAAGTCTCATGGACTTTCCTACTGGGCTGGCTTTGGACTTTGATTCTCAGAACTCAGCCTCCTGAATAGCAAGGATTACAGGTGTTAGCCACCAACATCTGGCAACTCTGTTTTACTTTCTTTTAAAAAATCAAACATTTGCCGGGCGCTGGTGGCTCACGCCTGTAATCCTAGCTACTCAGGAGGCTGAGATCTGAGGATCTCGGTTCAAAGCCAGCCCGGGCAGGAGAGACCGTGAGACTCCTGTCTCCAATAAACCACCAGAAAACCGGAAGTGGCGCTGTAGCTCAAGTGGTAGAGCG